GGTAAAAATGGTTTGTATCGTCAGTTAGCTGAGATTATTTCCGTTAATCTGGTATAACACATTAATAGGTTCTTAAATATTAAGATCCCCTGAGACACAGTGTCGTGAAAAAAAAAAACATGGTCCCCGCCAATGGGGACCTTGGGGTTTTGGCCAAACTAACCTTAAAATAGGCATTTTCCACCGAGAATAAAACGAAGTTCGGCCATGTTTTTTTTTTTCTGCAGGGAGAAATTTGAAGATCACGTGACATAGACGCCAGCCATTGGAATGAATGGTGAAAAAAAACGTAGGGATCTTACAATTTCAGAGGTGTTTTTGTAGAAATACTACGTCCCAAGTTGTGGACCAACGTATTACACGTTTTTTTGTGAGACTGGGTTGTCCTCTCGGGCATACCCACCAAGCTCATCAATAAACTACAAATCATACAGAACTCTGCAGCCCGGATCATCACCGGCACCAAGGCCTCAGAACACATCACCCCCATCCTCATCCAACTCCACTGGCTCCCGGTTCAATCCCGTATCAACTTCAAAGACCTACTGCTCACTTACAAAGCCCTACATAACCTGCCCCCCCCCCCCCCCCCCCCCCCCTATCTGGCTGACCTTCTTCTCCCTCCGCTCCTCCTCAGCTGGTCTGCTAACCGTCCCCACCCCACGCCTCGTCACCATGTGTGCTCGGGCTTTTAGCTGCACTGTTCCCAGACTCTGGAACCCCCTCCCCCCACACATCCGACAGTCAGACACAATCACCATATTCAAATCCCAATTAAAAAACCCACCTGTTCAAATCTGCCTACTCACTGTAGTGTTCCCCATTGTATGTTTCATTTGTGTCCACTTGACAGTCTCTTCCGTGATTTCCTGTTTGTGTTTTTATCATGTTCTGTTGCCTATTAGCGTTTTCTTTTTTTTAACAAATTGTACGGTGTCCTTGGGTGTCATGAAAGGCGCCTAAAAATAAAATGTATTATTAAGACAAGTTTATTTGATTCAATTACATTTATGCTCTAACTAAAAACACGTATATGTGGTAAAGGATGCACTGAAATTAACTCTATCCATCCACAATACTTTTATAATTAACATGACAATTGGGGCATTTACAACTTTAAAAGGTAGATTACATTACATTGCATTTAGCTGACGCTTTAAATCCAAAGCGACTTACAATAAGTACATTCGACCAAGAAGATACAAACTTGAAGAAAACAGAATCACATAAGTACATAGTAGATTTGACATTGACATACTAGGACATACTAGGAGGCCCCCTATTATACTGTTTTTCATCAATATATTATAGGTCTCGGAGATATACAAAACATGTCTCTGAAGTGTTTGGCTCCAAATACCAAACAGATCAGGCATTGTAGCATCCCATAATCTCCTCTGTTTCAGCCCTGTTTCAAAAGTGCTGATTCTGGGTCTTTTACTTTAGATGAAAAATAAGGAGCCACTCCCCACGCCCCTCTGAGAGATATTTGGTTAAAAATAACACAATGGTGCTCTAGGAGGAGATTCAGGTGATAAGGTGGGGGAGGGGGGGGGGGGTGTTACCTTGGTTGGTGATTGGCTAATGGTTACACAAGCCAGACAATTGTATATGACATCATAAAGTGGCCAAAATCTGATTAGCTCATTTTCGACAGGTTTTTATATAAATGGATCAGGACAGAAAGTGAGCAAATCTTTTTTCCTGAAACTTTCAGAAGCTCTTTACACAGAGGGGACACATGTTTATGTATAAAAGACAATAATAATGTTGCTTACATGCGAACAAGGCTACACAACTGTTTGAACACCAAAAGGTTGAGTTTTATTTCTGTGTCAGCAGTATGAGTACAGCTATTTTTAGTAAGTTGTTCATCTCCCTCTGGAGTAAAACCCCTTTCATGCGTTACAGGTGTCATTCATGCTGCTGTAGTGAGGACTATCAGTGCCACTCGATGAGAGTCCCACGAGTCCCGACGCCTGTCAGCGTGACAGACAGCCCTGCCACTGATTGATATAATTCAAAAGCCAGATTCTGAAGGGCCCAAAATGTAACCAACCATCTGCAATCCAACTTGTTGTCTGTGCAGAGGAGATTTCTCGAAGGCAGTCATCAATTTTGTCATATCGTCAATCTTTTCTTTTTTTTTGTGTTGGCTGGTGTAATTTAGCTTTTTGTTGTGGCTGACCCTCCCTAACCTGTGTTACTTGTCTCTATTTCAGGGAGCTCATTTTCAGTGTCTTTTATATCTATACAGTTAGAGGGAACAGGTGTGAACATCTGGTTTTCTCAGTTAAATTGAGTCACTATCTACCACTTAGAAATTAAATGGTGAATTAATACAAATTATTATACAGATTACTTGAATACTCAACTCTGGTCAATTTGGACAGGAGATGATGTTCCCCAAGGTTAGCAGACATTGTTTGGGTATCTCTATATAACTGACATATCTGAACTAGTACACTAAATGTATGACTCATCTACGTGTGCTGCAGTAACGTTGTGTTCTAGCATTTACTTTTAACCTGTTAATGCCAGTTGTTTCAAGAATAGCTGCTGTTCAGGCCCACAATAAGGGCCAACATGCTCTACCACCTGAGGTACCAGGCAATCTTAAAAAAAAAAGTTCAATACTTCTTTACAGGTTTTTCAGAGAACACAAAAAGCGTCACCCCTGCATAGAAAATATGTTTACCTCAAAACGTTGACATTGATAATGTAGCTTTTGTTTTTAAGACTACATTATTACAAGACTAAACTTGGAACAAATTGGAATATAATTGCCAAAATTGTAAGTAATGCTTTTTTGGCTCAAACATATGACATGGATTAAACAATCACGAACAAAGCATTTATGACTGAGGGAATTCAAATAGATTCTTAGAGTTATGAACTTGAGTTGTCACAAAAATGCAAACAGACACATCTACGCATTGTAGCTATTTAAATAATCAAGAATTGCTAATTGCAGAAAATTAACACAGACTAAAAGAACACTTCAGTAATCACATTTATTCAATTATGTATAATTATTGTGAATTGTAAAATCTATAATATTTAGAGTTGCAATGGCGATGGCAAGGCATTGCAACAATTATTATGTAAAACAACTTCAGAAATATGAACCCAGATCACCTCTGATGCAATAATCAAAAAAACTATTTCTGATTCAGTTGCATCTTTAAACATGTACATTTTAGTCCCACATAATGCCGTTGAACGGCCCAGACCAAGCAAGGAGGCAGAACGTCCAAAATACAACCCGGTGTGGGCATTTATTACATCGTAAAGATATGACACAGCCTCAATCTGCTGTTCACGTGAGCACAGTCACCAGCCACAAGGATCTCACACACCAAACAAAACAGGAAACACAAAGCCTAAATACCCACACTAATTAACCCAACAAGACACAGGTAAGGGGGGAGGAGACAACACAGAGCACGAGGTGCACACAATCAACAGCAACAGACATGGGGAAAGGGAACACTTTTCAAAATAAAACACATGTGCAATATACAAAGCCCGAAGCCGTCAGTCCACAGTGACGAAGCCATCTTCGTCACAGCCCTGCTTTTGCTTTTACACTTATCATGCAAGGTTTTTGTTTTCCGAACGCCTCTTCGATTACCGTTAAATGCAAGGTCTAAGAGCCAGAACATCTTTGCCGTTCCCTCTTAGCTGTTCATATGAAGCAGTGAGGGATCAAGTGCCTTGCTCCAGGGCTTTTTTAACTATATCTGTTGAGTCCAGGGTTCCTAATTCAATTGTAAAACCCAAAGTAAAAAGTTCCCTGCAACTGCATATACACGAATATACCCCTAAATAATATTTGTTTGCAAGAGTTACAGTAAAGAGTACGACCGTAATAGTAAACAAGAACAAATCTCCAGAGCCAGTCTAGCAGCAGGTAACCAGACTGTTCCTGTAACCCTTTGCTGCTGAAAAAACCTGACTCCTCCAGTCAATCACCAGAGGGGATTGTGTGGAAAAACCCAGAAGCTGTCAATCAAGTATTCAATTAAAAGATGGACTCCTCTGCTTATTTTCCTGCACATATTTAAAGTCCCCAGAGGGACTTTAAATATGTATATGTTGTGGAAAATGAGCAAAGGACAAAGTCCTATCAAATTGGTGGCGGGGAGCTGGTTCAGTCTGGCCTTCAGCCTCTGAAGGGCACAGAGCTATGGGCCACATACTTGAAATAAAACAGCCTCTGAAACAGCTTCTTTTGTGACCAGCTTCTAAAATCTATTTGCCATTGTGCATTTGCGGTAAAGAAAACAGCACATGTTATTATCAAACACTAAAGTTTGGTCAATACCCCATGGCATCTTTAGCATCTGTATGTAACGCAACAGGCTTTTAACTAGTTCCGCTGTTTACACATGTACAGTAGAACATTGTTAGACACACAGAGCTACTGATGTCATGTTAATAGTATGGCAATCTGTGTTGGTTGGTCAGAAACGGTGGTGAATGGATCTAAGAACAGACTTTCTTCAATGTTCGTGTGCTTTGTGAAACTTAATTTTTCACATCAGTCATTTGTCAATGCATTTAATCTCAAACACAATATATAGTTTTGTTGTGTGTTGCCAAATGTAAACTTCCTGTACAACAATAAAACGGATCCTATAAAGGTGCCAAGAGTGTGACAGTATGAGGCACTGGGTCCAAGTTGACTTGGAAATTCTGTTGAATTTTTAGGATTATGCTTAATCTTCTGCATTAACACAAAAGAACAGCTGTTTCCATGTGTAGCCACCATGTGGAGCTCAACCTGTAAAACATCACTATAGAAATAAAACAGCTGTTTCTAGGCCAGAATGACTCAGCTCTCTGAATGTGAAGCCTCCACTGAAGCTGTCGGCCACTATTTGCTTTTCCGTGCTGTTCAGCTGTTTACTCTCTCACTCAGCTGTATGTCAGGAGCCGGTGCGAATGACAACGAAATTCAAAGTCACCCTCTGTCCTCCCCTCTCTATCCCTCTCACCTGATTCTGTCTGGCACCCTGTGGGTCTGGTTGCCGTCAGTCTGGCAGTTGCCAGCATACTGCGCCCGGCTGTTGCTCCCCTGGTCCCGCCGCAGAGCCATCGCCCCGTGGGTAAGCACAGAGACGCCTTTGGCAATGCGCCTGCAGGATTAGAGAGAACAATGTAAATCAAAAACGCTGGGACATTTTCAAAGGTCTTTTTCTGACAGTGGAAGAGTCTGGGTGGAAGACAGTCATCACTGTCTGGGTGGAAGACAGTCATCACTGTCTGGGTGGAAGACAGTCATCACTGCTTGAATGAGGGCAGTTACAATGGAAATTCAACCAGGCTCAAACTTAATAGCACTGAGCATATGGGGGGAAATGAATGGACCCCTCTCCTTTAGATTTTAATGCTGATGGGAAAAAGAAGAACACTCTTCCTGGCAGTACAGAGTGTGACTTTTAATAAAATGAAAGGTTTTACATGTCCACTGATATAGACACTGTAGAATTAGACAATTTCTGCAAATTATGTTCTGGGGTAAGGGGTGTGCACTTGATCACACAGAAAGTAATGAATCATGATTAAAGAGCACAATCCAAATTGTATGATCACCTTAAAACTTGACTCATCAGCATTAGATCGGTTTCTCTCTTTTTAGATTTTGTATAAATCATAAGAGACTGAGTAAGATGAGTGTGCTGTCAGGATTGCTGGGTGTTACTGGGACACTGTGCCATTAGGGAAATACATGTGTTGCTGTCATGCTAGTAGTGAAAGGATATGAACAAAATTGATAACAGGAGAACATGTATTCCTTTGAAAAACTCTAAATTGATGTAATTAACATATTTTTAATTATCAGGCTAGCCATCTACTTAAAAAAAGGAACCTTTGGTAGGTCACTACAAAAGCGACTTGGCTTTCAAAGCATATTGGAAAAACAGCGAAGTGCATTAGCAACAGCTAACTAGCTAGCTAGCAACCACCACATCTATCAGTATTAACACAATAATGCGGTTGAAGGCTTGAGTTTAACATTGTGCTGAAAAGTTGAAAGCATGATAGAGAAACACGCAGCGAGAGAGTCGCATGTCCAGATACACTGTACTGTAGAAAAAACAATGATTTTGCTAGCAGCCTGTTTCTGGTGACACATCTTGGTGTGATTGGCACCTTAGGTGGTAGGTAGTCAGTGAATATTTTAAAGTTGTGTATTTAATTACTAGTCAGCTGGTTCCTGAACAGCTGATAAATGAGACCCATCAAGTTACATTCCCATGATACATCATTTGTTTTTTGCTCACCGCTTGTGGCGCCATATACAGCTGTAGTCTGATTGGTTTGGCGTTTAACGAGACATTTAACGAGGTTAAAGTGAAAATAACTTGAACTTTCAGAACAGCATCTGAGACAATTTTGAGCGGTGCATGACGCAGAGGATACTTTTGCCAAGTCGACGCCACTGTCCTCTCCATAGGAATACAATGGCAGCGTCAGCGCAAAGTCATTTTACTGCACATCGTGAATGCAGCTTCAGTTTGATGACAATAACCCTCTGGGGGCAACAAACAATATAAGTAAGGTTCCAATCTGGCAGATATCTGGTAAATGTTTTGTATTTACATGTGCTGCTCATTGTTTACAGTCTAATTAGCAACTTGAGACAGAGAATGGAGAAGAGTTGAGAGACAATGCCTGGATTGTTTCACAAGCCAGTTTAAATCAAACTTGCTAAATAATTGTCAGAAGATAGCAGATGTGTTTCCAGATTGCATTTTGGCAAATGCCATCAGCCAAAACTGTCTCAAAGATGAGTGGTCAATACTACTCCAACTACAAATGGAAGACAGAACGATTCCGATACCAAAATATTGCCCTACAGAATCTGTTCATAGAGATTCATAAATGAATAACTGATAGTGAAACATAGTGGCCAATTAACTAATGTAAGCAGGAGTTCAGTACAACCCTGAACATCAAGTTCTTCAAAATGTATTTATGTTTCAAGTTTGCTTCAATCTAATAAATAAATATTAGCACACTCTCTTGCTGTCTGTTTCAGCACAATTTAATAATAGATCAGACTTTGATCTGCAAAAAGCTTTCACACAGAAAGAGACTATTTAAAAGGCACTGCTTTTTAATATGGCTGTTGAATCAGCTCTTATTTGTAAACCGCTGCAGAAAAAACAACACCAGGCACTTCTTACATCTTATTCAACTAAATAGACATTTATAATGTAAAATAACAGTTTCTGCTTGAGATGTGTTGAGTCAGTTATCAAAGTTAAATCTGATTTCACATGTGACCTGAAAGAGCTGTAGGCGGTGCAGTGGGGTAAGACTTTGCTCCCATCGTATTGAGCATATCGTTTGTTTAATGCGTTCACAAAAACTACTGTTCCACATCATAACCATAATTTCTTTAGTGTCTAAAAAGGCTCTCTGGAGGATCTATCGGCAACAGCAGTCATAAACACTGCGGCACAGATCAGACTTACTGTAATATACCATGGAGGGGAGGCAGGGATTCATGTGTATTTGAAATATGTATTATTTGTAGGAATCCGGAGGACACAGCTGGTGTATCGTTTGCACCCTCCTGTAGTCTATTTTGCATTGTAATGTTGTGTTTAGGCGATGCTCATCAACCTGATGAGTCATAAAATATTTAGTAAACCAAGTCTTGTTTGGGTATTGTGCTCAGGAGCTTGAGTTAAATGTTATTTTACTTTTCAGAAAAGCAACGGTGACGTCACTTTAGAAATCGGATGAAAAGCTTGTTTTTTGGCTGCGTCTGTCAAATGGATACTTTCATAGCTAAGACCAAAAGGTGTGTTGGTTGGAGCAGATTGGCTGGGTGTGTCAAGGAGAGACTCTGAGGCATGAACTCAATTGCACGACACAGATAGTGTTCTCAAAAAATAAAGACTTTACTGGAATTGAGCACAGTAATCAAAACAAGGAAAACAAATATACTCTTTCGAGGAAAACTAGCAAGTGATCAATGACGTAGATCCGTGGGAAGTCCGTGAGGTAATCAGGAACGTGGGTCATAGTAAGACAACGAACTGACAATGAACAGGAGGAAGCTACCACAATATATACACAGGTAAAGGGGACACAGGTGGAAACAATCAGGGTGGGGAAAACAATCAAGGACGCAGGAGACAGAAGGGGGCGGGGAGCGTGGAGGCCTGAAATGAGAGGGATGATTAATTAAGGGAATAAACATAAAGCACAGGGCAAAGGGACATGACAAAACTAACATAAAGAATACACTTTCACTATTAGTTTCCTAGACATGACAGGGTGGAGCATGAATGTTGCTGATGAGTGTGTGAATTGTATTGTCCTTCTATCGCACTGTACAGCTGTCAGACAGAGCGGTGACAAGCTCATTCAGACAAAGTGTAGGATTAAGCACCTTCATGTTGGTTGTAATAGCAAAGAAACTCAAAACTAGAGTTGTCATATTTTTTTTTATTACTGGCATGGTGCTCAAAATGGAGATCAAGCATAAACCCCAACATTTTTTATCCATCGATATAATACATATGGTACATTATTTGCCTTAAAGGTGGGGTAGGTAAGTTTGAGAAACCGGCTCGAGATACACTTTTTGTTATATTCCATGGAATGCTCTTAACATCCCGATAGCAATGAAGTGCTTTGACAAAAAATCAACAACAAAAATGTCATCTGTGGAAGCCGTAGTGCTGTAAAAAGCACGACCAATCATCTGAGCCGGCCCGGCTAAAATAACTGGATGGCCTACCTGCCTGTCAGCCTTCCATCTGTGCACAAACTTATCTCGTGCCCTCATTGGTCACGTGCGCGTTCGTGTGTGTTGGAGGAGGGGCTCTGTAAGGAAGTGGCAGATTTCTTCCGGCTGTGTATTTTCAAATTCTAGCGCATTCGAGCTGGTTTCTCCAAAATTACCTACCCCACCTTTAACATTGGTACTGTAAAGGTAGGGTTTGACAGTATGCAGGATTTTGGATTTGTTTACAGAATTTTCCGATCCCAGGCATGTACAGTATAAGACTTTGTGGTCTTCGAGAACGTTGTATTATGTGCTTTATACTTGTACAAGGCACATTAGGTTTTAGTCCAAATAAATATAAACCTGTTCATTAAAAGAAAGGTTGCATTTTCAGGGTGACAGTTCTCCTCAGAAAAACCCATCTGCTTTGGTTACATCAGCTAAGTTTCTATTCCAATTCTTAGGACAGAACATCAGTGTTCCACAATGCACCGTGACGTTCTGCCTGATAGTGAAGGTGTGCTTCTCTCTCGGGCATGACAATTTCACAATCTTAGAAATCAGATGCATTCATAATCCATTGCTATGCTGGAAGGAATCCTGCTTGGCAATGGATTCAAGATGGTCAGTACACAGAGAGTGATGTGGCAATACCCACACCGGATGATGCAAAAAGAGTCAGATCCTAGAGCCAAGTGGGCATAGTATGTCTCCAAATGTAGCACAACTAGTCAAGTTTAGGAATTGAAGCCGTACACACTTATTTCATAGTTTGTACTCCTTAACCTGGTTTGGATTTCTGATGATTTCCTTGCCTTGTATTGCTGAACTGTCTTAACAAAGTGTAGAACTCCTTTCAAACCTGCCTTCCCTATGCTTCCCATCATGACTGAGGTGGATTTAATAGTTCAAATCAATAAAGGATTCCACCTTTCACCTGGACTCACTTGGTCAGTCTATTTAGATTAGATCAGATGAAAATGTAATGATCATAATCATCTCTGCAGTGGGGAATACATCATGTACAGAGCAGGTGGTCGTTGAGTATTACTGTGTATCCCTGTGTGTTGCTTCAGGAAAATCATAGAGGTGCACAAATTGAGTTTATTCTCACACTCATCCTGATGCATGTTTAAAGTAATATGGTTTGGTTTTCAGAAGCTTTAAAGGTCCCATGTCATGCTTTTCTGGTTATTACCCGTCCCCTTGTGTGTCACGTAGCTTTTTCTGCATGTAAACGGTCTGCAGAGTCACAAACCCTCAAAGTACACCCTGTAGCGAGTACAATTCTAACACAGAAAAGACCTGTCTATGCTGCCCCAGAACGCCTCGTAGGAGATTTTCTTTAAAAAAAAATGTCTTCCGGGAACCGAGTGATGTAACGACGACCCCTCCGTGGATTGGTCAAAATTTACCAATCCACGGAGCAGTTACGCTAAGTCCGTGGATTGGTCCAAATTGACCAATCCGCAGACTTCCTCACACACACTCAATCTTTTCTCAGCTGCAGCTCCGCCGATTTCTCCACCCTGAGACGGCGGGACGCAGCGAGGCGGTGTGTGAGCACACACACAAACTCCCAGCCAGGCTGCGGGTGTGTGTGTTCGGGATGGTTTCGCTGTGTCTCGCTGTCTCGCAGACGGCCACTGGGCTCATAGGGAGTGGGGGGGGGGGCAGGAGCTCCAACAAGCCTTTTAGGACAGAGAGTGAATACACATACTATACAGAGATGCTGTATGAGAAACCAATGAGATTTTGGGAAATTGCACATTATAAATCTATTTACCTCAACAATGGAATTATGATCAGTAGAAATGGCCATGACATGGGACCTTTAAGGCTCTCGATTGCATAACTCACTTATTACAAATAGATCCTCAATTCAGCTGCGAGAGAAGAAACTACAACGTCTGAACTGCATTGATCTTCAGCAATAGTACAGCACAACAAATTGTCCAATTCACGAAACATGCAAATCATGTGAAACCCGACTGCTGTAAGAAACATAGAAAAACATGCGCCATAGCAAGGGGCAGGATACAAGTTTTGTATCATAGGAGTACTTTACTTTGGATGTGATGTTATCAACTTTGAATGGAGACAAATCAAGTGTTCACTAACTTGGTTTAAGGTTTCAAAGGGACACATTGACTTAATGCCTATTAAAATAAAAATAGAAACAGCTATTCATGTTTAGAGAATAGATGGTGTTGTTAAGAAGTGAAAAGGACATTGGGAGGTTATTTTTAAAGGAACAACTACTGTACCACACACTTTCAGGGATGAAAAGTCACATTTTTAGTCAATAGAACACACCCTTGGTATGTTCTGTGCATGCTGGGATTTTGTTGCAGAGACCACAGAGTCTTTAAAGAAAGTGAATATTTGCCAAACTTCAGCGAACTAAATATTTAGCGTGTATTCATGATCATGGGAACAGATGAATGTCATCAAAATTCTGTTTCCAAGGTTGACTTACTTAGATATTCCTGAAGGTCATGGAATACCACCGGAAGCTTGAGTTTATAGTTTGCACCAGGCATACAGATGTTGTAAGGCTCGCTTGAATGAAAATCCCTGTTTTATCCTTTTGACAGATGTTCATTAGTCTAACACAGTTAGGTAATCAAGAGGCACTATAATGCTTTTTGGGGTTGTCTTTCCTGTAGTATGTTGTATAGGTTTCTGTGCACATGAATGGTCTGCAAAGGCTAAAATCCCAAAGTTCTCTCCAGAGGGAGTTTCTCTCCCACACACTGCATTGGACTTCTTTGTTTTTATTTCATAACAAAATCACCTCACTATGTTACAATTGCACTAGCGCTCCAACACATTATACATGATAGACTTAGGGGTGGGACATATATAAGCGGTTGATCAATCACAACAGAGCCAGCCAGCTAACCAATCAGAGCAGACTAGGCTCTGGTTTCAGACAGAGGGTGAAAAGAGGTGCTGCAACACAGGCAGTATGAGAAAAATAAAGAGCTTTTTTTAAACATAAAACATGTTAACATGTTACAGTAGAAGAACAACATGCACATATATGTGACCCGCTCTATCGAAATCAGTCGGAAGTCGCAACGGCTCATTTCAAAATAAACGTGGATTTACGTAAAAAACAATTTTTTCGGGGTTCGGGTGTTTTGTTTGATTTTAAATAAACAAAGTCTTGGCTTTCAGAATATGAAACTTTTATTTCCAAAATCACACGATAAATACTTTTTTGAAGGGACGAAGACAGGCACCTCTCACTCGCTACTCCGCAGCTCCCCCCACCCTCCGGCTGAAATTATGAATGTAAGGCGTATCGTAATCATAGATAACATGGCAGGGTCAGTTACAATTTGTTTTCATCTGATTTCAAATAAACAAAGTCTTGGCTTTCAGAATATTAAACTTGTTTCGGCAAATTCAGATGATAAATACAGCTTTGAAGCTTGTGACGGCATAATTACAAGCGGAGAACGGAGTAACTTGACGTCACAGCAGGCATAACAACAGCCGGTGTTTCTCATGAAACAAACGCAATACACACAAACGCAAAATTACACAAACACGCACACACGTATACACACACACACTCGCGAGCTTCCCCCAGACCAGTAATCCAAACCAAAATATGTTTCCTCCGTACTACTTTGATCATTTGCTCCGCTAATAATCAATCAGATTGATGGATTCCAGAGAAGAGGAAACTTTGAAGGCCTTTCTCTCAAAATGATGACTCGGTGACAGTCATTATATAATGTGACATATTTTGCTTAATATTTGGAGTACAAAAACAATCCTGATATCATTAGAAAGCTAGGAATATCCTCTTTCCAGCAGTGTATTCAACTCAAAATGTGTCTTCGGGTCAATGCGACTGATATCGATGGAGCAGGTCAAATATGAAAATAAGCATAATTGGTCCTTTGTAATCTAGCTCCAAAAGTCCATCAATGTAAAGTGAAAAAGTTAACAAATATCATATCCTAAATCATGTCCTCTGGACCCGTAGTTTACAGCCAGTGAACCTTTTGCTTTGCTCTTACCTTCTGGGTTCGTCCCTCCAGCCCTGCGGCCGGATGGCGAATAAGGCCTTGGGCAGCCCCTCCAGGCCCAAACCAGACAGGGCCGGTCCCACAGCAAACCACATGTGACTGGGCCCCGCCTGACCCGCCGCCAAGGCTGCCCGGAAGATCAGCTCAGCCTCCTCCAGGGAGCAGTACAGCAGACGGACCTGAAGGAGGAAAAGGGAAAGAGTTAACACATTGAACGTGGGAGGGAGAGAGTGGGAAGTCATTAGTAGAAAGGAAGCAATGAAGATATTTATGTTTTATGTTTATTTAGGATCCCCATTAGCTTTTGCTCTTGACAAAAGCTACTCTTCCTGGGGTCCGACACTTAAAACAATACAACAATAATACAACAATACAACAACATTCAAGAAATAAGTCCTGACATCATTAACAACATCACTAACATCATCAACAATCTCATCCACTTTCAACATCAATCTAAGTCAAGGATAAGTGAACAAGACACCCCCACCAGTACAAAGCATGAGATATAATTAAATTAGGGTTCACAGTTCACAAGGGTACATGGTCATTAGTAGATGGCCCTTCAATCTCTTCTTGAAAGAGGCTCTGGAAGACTCTATTTCAGTAAGGTAGTTTGGCAATGAGTTCCATTCCTTTATAGCTCTATAAGTTACTGAAGATGTCAGAAGATGTGTCCTGGGTTTAGGTGCCAGTAGATGGCCTGATGTAGCTTGTCTAGTCTTATGGTCATGCTTGTCTCTTGTGTAAACTATTTGATCATAGAAATACAGTGTTTTTTGCTAAATTGGACATTTCTGAGAAAAGTGATAACACAAGATTGCAGACGTTTCTCAACCGGAAGCCATGATATAATTATATGCATAACTCCAATATGAGTGCACTTCGAACAGTGCAGAGCTAGTCTGGCAGCCTTGTTTTGAGCTATTTGTAATTTCTGTAAATGTGTTTTTGCTGCTGATGACCATATGACCGGACAGTACTCTAGATGTGACAAAACCAGAGACTGAATGACTTGTTTCAAAGTGGTTGGTGTTACATACTTTGTACATGTTCTCGTCACAGCTATGCTCCTTCCCATTTTAGTTACGATACTGTCAATTTGCTTTGTCCACTTTAAACCAGAATCAAGAACAATGCCAAGCAACTTAGTCTCGTTTACCTGTTCCACTGGCTGACCAGCCAGTGTCAGGCTTCATTGAGGATTGCTGCTTAACATGTGTCTAGATCCGAACACCATTGCTTTTGTTTTTGCAATGTTGAGTACCAGTTTGTTATTGTTGACCCAGTCTGCTATGGCTTTAATCTCTATTTTAAGTAGATTGTTTAACTCACTACATGTTGATGCTGTACTGTACATTGTAGAATCATCATCAGCATGCATTATTACACTGGACTTATTTAATACGTAAGGAAGGTCATTTGTGAATATTGAATATAACAAAGGCCCAACTCCCCTGTGCGACCCCACACTGCAACACCTTACTTTCAGAAAAGCTCCCATTGAAAAAAGACTTGCTGCCTTCTCCTAGTCAGGAAGCTCTCCATCCAACACATAGCAACAGAACCAAAGCCATAGCATTTGAGTTTGTTCAGCAGCAGACTGTGATCGATTACATCGAAAGCTGCGCTAAAGTCTAACATCACAGCTCCTACAAGCCTCCTATCATCCATGCTCTTTAACCAGTCGTCGGTCATTTGTGCAAGTGCTGTACTTGTAGAGTGACCATCTCTATAGGCATGTTGGTAGTTCGTTGTCAGATTGTTATTTGAAAAGTAGTATTGAATTTGGGCGTATACTATTTTTAAAATTAATGTACTCAACACTGGGAGGAGACTTATAGGTTGACTATTGGAACCAGCAAAGGATTTTCTTTTATCCTTGAGTAATGGGATGACCTTGGCTTCCTTCCAGATCTCGGGGCACACGCCTTGCTCTAAACTTTTATTAAAAATGTGACTCAATGGCTTGGATATGTATTTGGCCGTCATTTTAAGCAGTTTACCATCCAAGTTGTCAATCCCAGGAGATGTATCATTGGACAGATGTAAAGCATATTTTCAACATATTCTTCTGTAACATTGTGGAATTCAAACATGCACTGCTTTTCCCTCATGATACGATCTTTAATGATGTGATGTGACACTGTGTCCTTGACTGCACCCATGGCATTCCTCAGCTTGTCTACTTTATTTGGAAAATAATCATTACAATTATTTGCAATATCTGCTGGCTTGGTAATGAATTTAACCTCGGTTTCTATAAAGGAAGGATGCATGTTTGAGTTCCTCTCCATTATGTTATTCAATATTTTCCATAATTTCATTCGTAGAATCACTGATTTCCTGCATGTAGTATTCCCTCTTTCTACATTTATTCAATTTGGTTACCGCATTTCTTAATTTACAGTAATGTTGATTTTCACATAGAGAACCTGTTCTGTCTGCAGTTTTTTTATCTCGTTGGACCATTAAACTTCTCATCTCGTCATTTAACCAAGGTGCACACTTTGACCATTTTCGAATTGGAACATGTTGATCCAACCCTGTCTCCTAAAAATTACGTTCCCACAGAACTAAACTGCATTCTCAATTACGTTTAGCTTGAAACGTATTTACTCCCACGTTACGTTCGTTATGAACGTATCTTAAATACGTTTATTTTCTACATATCTTTGCCATTTATTGTCTTGCTTATAATAATGATAATAGTCATTTATAAATATCATTTTAGAGCACACATTTGAAATCGAGAATCAGGCTCGATATATGGTTAAATTAAAATCAGTAGGCGAGGCTGTAATTTCGGCAGCTGTTACTCTCATGAGCGAGGCAGAAAATAATAGTTTTAACATGACAAAAAGCTGCTGTGTCGTTTATTGCACCTCAAAGATTAAAACAAATCCAGAGTTACGTGTTTCTGTACTTCCTCTAAGAAGAAAGGACAGTAAAAGAAGAGCTCTGTGGCTTCAGGCTTGATCGCCGTTCAAATGACAGCGTTGGTTTCCCCAAAAGTGGGCGGGGCTGTAAAGTGACGTAGATTTTACTATCATCTATTATTCAAAACCATTCTATTTATTCTAACGTAAATTACATGCCAGTGTTTTATCTTTTTATTTATTTGTTTTTATTTTAAATCGTATAATGTCGGACATTTTTCCCGTCTGTGAGGAAAATAAATGGGGTTTAGAGCCTCAAAATACTGAAATCTGTATTTTTTAAAATCTTTTCCTTCTAATTTGTTATTATTTTCTAAATAACACACTGTTATTTACTCAACAATAACACACAATTATCCTTGTTTTTATTTATTCGTTTAATTCTATAATCTTGGGCTTTTTAGCCGTAAATAAAGTCACCGGAAACAGGCGGGACATTTCGAGTGATACACACCACAAACCCACCGAACTGATTACCCAAGATCCTCAGCTTGAAGCTCGTTGATTGGATGTTTTAGCCGCAATAAACGCTGGGATATGGTGTTAATAAGTTGTGATATCCGAAAACGAAAAATAAAATAATACCTAATTCAGAGTGTTCTTGCTTTTCTCTTTGGAAGTCATCACATAACGGCATTGTAATACACGGTTCGTCTGCATTAAATATTATACATCTGCCGTAGTTCTTTATTTATAGAGCCCTGATGAGAAGACTTCTAGACAAACATGAGGAACTGCCGCCAAAACTGAATACTTGATGTGGATCATAAATATATCAACAATTAAACAACATCTTCAATTTCTTTTCACAAAATACGTCTCCTTGCAGTATCAATAGTAATTCGGCTGACTTTTATATTTGATCCAATTGGTAGATAGGTTATATTTACACCATAACGGTGCACAGCTGATAGAAAAGGACTTGTAGTTTTTTAAAGATATTACTGATTTTCTTTGAATATAAGAATGTAAATACTGAGTTGAGAGAATAGTCAGGGGATTTGGGTGATGGGAGACACATCTATGGATTCAGAATTTCAATAGCGTACCATTAAATGACGGATATACCTTTCTGTCTGTGATGTTTTACAAATCAGATATTAATGTGTAGAAGTAAAACATGTGAAATAATATAGCAATATCCTGTAAAATTATGTAAAAACATGAATAAAACTACACATCTTCAGATGTTATACATACATAAGTGTTCTACACTAATAATACAAAGTTATTATTAGTATGCTGTGTGTACCTTGTGTGCACCGCCTAGTGGTTAAAGCACGTTATTGAATTATTTTTGTTGAATAATGTTATTTGATGAAAACAATATTAAGAGTACATACTTTCATAGGGGGAAAGTAGAAGGTCAATGATAGAAATATAGAATATACAAAGTCAAGAAGATACTGTAAGTGATCTCTACAATAAAACAGTTCAGTGCCGGATGTACAAAGATATTAATAGGAGGATGTGCAAAACAGAAAAACGAATTAACCTTTATTAACACATTAAAGAATACTTTAGGTTAAGGTCTTATTTTAAATAAGAAAAAAGCTTTGGGGGTATCTATCTACCGATGAATATTAAGCCTGACAAAGTACTTAACGTCTAATATATTGCTTTCCTGCAATGTTAACTATGTTGAAGCACTTATTTTAACTGATATTATACACATTAATTATACTCTTATGTATGTAGATAGAATAAGAAATGTGCAGAATATGACAGTTTAATGGTGGAGGTACACACATATTGATAGATGTCTTGTAATGCGCTGTTGAGGAACCTGCGACCCAAGTTGTGTATATGATCAAGAAACCTTAGAAAATCTTGAAATCTTGAAAGGGATGTGCAAAATAGCCATTATACAGTTTTTAATTAACTCTTAGTAGAGAATAACGAGTAATGAATATACTTTATAGAGATCTGCAGATAAATGTTTTCGTCTTCTCAAGCACCACCTATCAAATATCTCTCCTGATTGTTGGCACTTGACAATCACCTTCCCTGAATTTCACTCAGGTGTAACTAAAGTCTGCTTTAAGGGTTGTTTATATTTCACATCATTAATCAGAATCTGCAAAGTAACTAAACTAAATGTAGTGGAGTAAAAATACCAGGTTAACCTCTGAATTGTAGTGGAGTAGAATTACAAAGTAACAATGAGCTGTCGTGTGGGTATATATTAATGCTGCCCATTATGGATATAAGCGATTTTTACCCATTTAGTAATTACATGT